TCTGAGAACTGGGAGTGATGATCCAAGATGCTGAAGAGGCTCACACAAGGTCAGGAGCTCAGAAAGCTCTGGCTACTCAAAATCAATGAAGTTCTGGCTTGTGGCTCAGGGAATTTCAATGGAGGGTGTATAAAACAGTGTTTAAAGACATGTATGTATAAGAGGTTTCTAAGAATATGACTACTTGAGTTGTCAATAGAGTCACAGGAAAAATTACTTAAATACCAAGAAGAGTCACATGATTCTTGGTATGGCCTGATTTTTATTACTAATAGCAAGAGAGGACTCCAAAGCTCTGTATAAATAAGCATGCTGTCAACTCCTGGAAAAATTCTAGAGTGGCTGAGTGTACTATTAAGCCAATGGTTTGGGAACAATTGGGAAAGAAAACAAGGATCACTGAGAGAAGTGTGGGCTCTTGAGAGAGTCATGTGAGACCAGCCTCTCTTCCATTCTGCTTTTTTTTTAAGTTTGTTTATTTTTGAGAGAGACAGAGACTGTGCTAGTGGGGGGAGATGCAGAGACAGGGCGGGAGTCGGGGGGAGAGTATCCCAAGCGGGTTCTGCACTGTCAGCATGGAGCCCAAAGCCGGGCTTGAACCCATGAAACTGTGAGATCATGACCCGAGCCGAAACCAAGAGTCAGATGCTTAACCAACTGACCCACCCCGGTGCCCCCCATTCTGCTTAATAGAGTGAGCCGTGGGACTGTTGTAGCCCCAGTGTCCCTGGGTTCCCATCTAGTGTTTAATGGGCTGCGGGCTGGTGGCGGTGGAGTCAGACAGATTGTAGCTGACTGCATGGCCCTTGTCTGTCTCAGTAATGCCCACATCAGAAGATTTGCAGGGCCTTTTTGGACACATACTCAACCTACATCTGTTCACCCTTGAGGGATGTGACTCCAGGGAGCCAGCTGAAAGCCTGGGCTCTGTGAGAAGGTATATGGAAGCATCCAACAGATTCCCAGTACTGACTGTGCTCTGCTCGGCATTTTCCGTTTGTTATAAGGAGCACAGGCTGCAGGGCAGGAATCACAGAACTTTGAGAGTAAGGTCTGAAGCCATACTGTCCAGGTTTGAATCCCAGCTCTGCATTTTGCTAACTTCTGATCTGTGATAGGCTAAATTCCTCCTCTGTGCCTCGGTTGCCTCATTTAGGATGTGAAGATAGCAATAGTAAACTAAAGAATATTGCTAGCATTAAATGAGCTATACATGTAAAAGCTAGGTAGCAAGGCCCTGTTTTTAGTTTGTGTGTATCAGGAAAGAGGGAGCTTGGTAAGGGGTGATGGAGATTATAAGAGATTAAAGACTGCAACTGAGGGAGAAGATGCAGCCTTTGGATAAATCCGCAACTCTGTCCACCCATCAGCTGGAAGTTGTTGGCTTTGCATCCATATTCATCCCTTCCCCATCTCCCAAATCCTTTAAGGAAGTTGGCTGAGGATCATCTGTTTTATGTGAGTGGGAAGGGAGAGTCATGGAAATCTAGGAAGCAGCTGAACATCTTAATATTATTGCGAACATTTTTGACCTTGCAAGCCTCCTCTGTGAAAAACACTACACTACACTGGGGTGAATTTCTCCGTCTTTCTGATCTTGCTTTGATCTTCCTCTTGTCCCTCCATGTGAAAAGGCAGCCACTGGTGAGGTACAGGATAGTTACACTTTGTTCAAACAGTATACTCCCAAACATTTCATATAATTCAAAATTCCCTAAATGCAACTCTACTCCAAAAGACAGGAGATAACATTTACGCACCAGCCTGTACTGTCAATTAGCAATAGAATGACTGCAGTTTACAATCCACTCACTTGAAAAACGAGCTTTAAAATTAGGAGAAATTCTGGATACATTGTTGATGGAGTGGGTCTGGAATCATTTCAATAATTCACAGAAAGATTTTATCAATATTTGAGATTGCACTGTTTTGAATTTGCGTAAGTTAGGTTCCTTCCTTTTTCTTCACTGTGAAAAAGGAAGACCTTGGTAATGGTGGGGAAGACTGGCAAGGATGGAAAAGTTCCTTGAAGGCAGGCAGTGGGTCTGATTGATCTCTGGCCTCCCCATCCCCTGTCTCTGATCCCTACCACATGGGCTGATTCCCAGGGGAGGGGCATAGAGGAGCAAGCCAGGTGCACCTCTCCAGGTGTGAGTCACTGGCCCGTGAGATGAAAAGCAAAAAACGGTGGAAACACAAGATGCTCATTAGCAGTGATTTATTAAGAACTGATGAGGGCTTTCTGCTCCTAGGCAGCTATTATCCCAAAAAACATTTTTCCTCAGTGTCTAACTTATCATGCTCAAATGCCCACTATTTCACGCTCATCCTGTACATGGAGTTCTGTGAGCAGCAGGCAGATATAATCCAGTCTTATCGACAGGAGGAGGGCATGTGTCCCAAGCCAATGAAGGTCACCATTAATGATGCATGGGGCACTGGGGGCTGGGCATTTTTCTAGAGGTACATGGCCTGTCCCCTCACAGGGGCTGTTTGAGTTTCTATGTATCTTAGCCCCAAATGCAGATGCATGAAAACCATGTGTGAAGGAGTCCCTTTAAGCGAGACTTATGGTGGGGACTTTTTCTTATTATTATTTATATCAAACTTAAATTTTTGAGATACTTGCAGATTCCCATACCGTTAGAAGACATAATACAGAGACATCCCATTGTATGCTTTGTCTAATTTCCTCCAATGGTAATGTCTTACCATTAGTACCATTACCATAGTACAATGTCACCTCTGAGGCTTTCTTAAAAGACTCGGAGGACTTGAGACTTCCCTGACCCCAGAAGGGAGAACCTCTGGGGAATGGTGCAGTCCCCTTGGAAGGAATGTCCCCAGATAAGAGCCTGGAGGGTATGGGGTATATCAGGGCTCTCTGGTTAGAAGTAAGAGATGTTCATGCAGATTACAGATGCTCTCCCCTCACATACCTGACTTGTATGAGAGCACCATTGGGTGCCAGGGACGTAGCACTAGTCCTTACCTGGTCCCTGGGGCTTTGGGGGACTAGGGCCCTCAGCCTTTCAGCTGCGTCTGCTCAAGTACTGTGGTTGACAGTCCTCTCTGGAATGACACACACAGCCCAGGGCTTGATTCCTAGCTCCTCACCTGCTATATGAATGACCTCGGCCAATGACATCTTAGAGCTTCAGTTTTTCATAGTATCTTATAGAGCACTTGCCATATGCCAGTCACTAGTCTAAGAAGCTTGTAGAATAACTAATTTAATACCAACAATCCTAAAAGGGAGATATTATTAGTTCCTATTTTGCAAATGAGGAAATTGAGGTATTTGTCCAAGGTCACCCAGCTAGTGAATGGCAGGGTTGGGTATTTGAAGCCAGGCAGTCCACATCACAAGTTCACATACTTAACCACTGTCCTGTGCTGTTCTCTCCTCTCTGAGGTAGGCTGAGTAGTACCTTGCTGAATTTCTACAAGGCAAACTGCTTAGCACAGTGCCCAGCATGTAATACATAAGCACCAATAAATGCTAGCTAACATTATCTTTGGTATAATTGCTTCTGGGAGCTTCTGAGTATTTATTTCTTATTATGGTAATTAATAATTGCTTCCGTTCTGGCCACCTACCATGTGCCAAACCTTCATTCAGCCCTCCCAACCACCCAAAAGGAGGAGTCACTTTTTCAAGATGAAACAACTGTGAATCTGAGAGATGAAATCTGGCAGAGGCAGAGACAAGATTTATACCCTGGGGCTGCGTCTAGAATCACAGCTCCAGAAGGAACTTCAGAGATGCCAGCCTAACTTCACATCCAGCTCAGGAACTGCACTGTCAAACAGTCATGCATCCATTCCGAAAAGCCCGGTGACAGGGCACTGCTTCTCTACACCAGTGGTTCTCACGCTTGGGGGTACCACAGAAGCCCCTTCAGCCATTGTTAACATACAGAATGCTGTCCCCCTCCTCCATCCGCCACCCCACCCCACTCCACCACACTCCCTTGGGCTGGAGCCGGGGCCTGAGAACGTGCATTTCTCCCAAGGCTCCCCAGAATGCTGATGTTGCTGGATCAGGGACTGTACTTTGAGAACCACCGCTCTAGGGAAACTTCTTGGAGTAGTAACAGTAGAGACGATGGCATCCTCCACTTATGCCCTTTTCATGTGTGAGACAGGCTTCCCTTGCAGGGCCAGTGCCTTATACTTACCTGCATTGTAAATTATGCATCCCCATCTATGTGGCTACCTTCCTTCCATAGAGGGCTCTTAAAATTGTATGTTCTCAAAAGCCTGCCTCTGATTGGAGCCCAACCCCTCCCCAGCCTACTTCCACCTGTTTGGGGACATGAGGCTCACCCTTCCAAATCTTCTTAAAATAATACCTACCGTTGCTTTTCTCATTAAAAACAAAACCAATGAAACCACACCTTCCTACTGCTGAAAACTTAGAAAAGTATGAAAAATAAAAAGAGGGATGAGGAAGAAAATGAAAATTAACCACCATCCCAATCCCTCTGTTAATATTTTGATGTATTTTAGTATATTTCCTTATAGCCTCTTGATGTATATATGTATATTTTATTGAAGTATAATTGACATGTAACATTACATCCGTTTCAGGTGTACAACATAATATGGCATATATTGCAAAATGATCACCGCACTAAATCTAGTTAACATCTGTCACCATACATAGCTACAAATTTGTTTTCTTGTGATGAGCACTTTTAAGATTTACTCTCTTAGCAACTTTCCAATATGTAATACAGAATTGTTAACTCTAGTCACCATGCTGTACATGACATCCCCATGACTTAAGTATTTTAGAACCAGAAGTTTGTGCCTATATTTGTTAATTTTGGAATAAAAATGCATATAGTACTGAGTGTCCTAAAAGCAATATTCTAAATGTTCTGTATACGTGGGACCTGCTGTCCCATAATTTCATTATGGAATTCAAAGAAGGAACTGAGGTTTGCCAGGGACGGCAAAGGTGGGCCTTTGAGCCAACCGAGAAAACACAGGCACAGAGATAAGCATCATTGTTGTCTGTGGGGCGGGGTCCGTGGCGCAGTAGAAAGTGGGTTTGAGCCAGTTGAGTGGGGACAGGCGATGGGAAGCTGTTACCAGCTGGCCTGGAGCTCTCTGAAGCACCAGGGGGCTGTTGCACATTCCATATCCCATCCTATCAGGAATGAGTTAACAAAGGGATTTCCCAAGGCCCACCCACGTAGCGGAGGGTGGGATGGATAAGAGCCCTAATAGTGAGAAGGCAGGGGGAGGAGACATGGATACATGAGTAGGGAGAGGCCTGGGGGCCCACCCAGTCCCCTCCGGCCGAGCATGCTGTGGCATGGATAGGTCTACTTCTGAGCCGCCAGGATGGAAAGGGACTGGTTGATCTTCACCATGGCGATAATGAGGAGGCCACCGGTCAGCAGGAAGGTGGGCCAGAAGAGAGAGAAGAGCAGGGTCTGGGGTCCATAGAGGCGCCGGTACAGGACAGTGGTCTCATTCTCCCGAGTCGTTGAGAAGCAGTAGAAAATCCGATGCTCGTGGAAGTTCGTTCTGACCTTCTCCACATCGGCCCGGGCCACCTGGTAGTTTTCCAGGCTGCGTGGGATGTAGGAGCACTGTGAGGGGAAGCAAGAGCACCCATGAAGTCGGAAATCCCCGTCGCTTTGGGCAAGATGAGGGGCTGGCATGAAGTAAGGGAAAGTGTTGGCTTTGGCGTTGGGCCCCCGGCTGGGAGTTGGGACTGGTTGAAGCTTGGAAGGCTGTGCACTGCTTGGTTCCAGAGGGCACCTTCACAGTACAGTGTCATTTGTGAGGACAGTGGCCCAGGAGCTGCTCGGGGTACATGCCCACACCTGGAGGGGGGGCCCAACTGGAGTCCTAGTTCTGCCTCCACTGGCTGTAGAACCTTAGGCAAATTGCTCGCCTTTCTCAACCTTGATATCTTATCTCTTAAATGGGTTAATAGCAATATCTCCTTCAAAGGATGTTATTAAAGATGGGCTTCAAACTTAACTGGCCAATGAGTGACACAGACCGAGTAGGCTCTGCATTTGGATCGAGGGCAGAGGTCATACGCTCAGTCGCCCACGGGGCTCACACTGCAGCATTCACATGTGAAGTGGGGGAGGGAAGAGATGACGGGTGCCACCTGACACTTCCCCTGGTGCCAGGGACAATTGTCGGGGGGGGGGGGGCTGATGAAATGAAGAGAGCCAGAAGCTTCCAGACTGGCAGTCCTCACGCCATCCGGACGATGCATGCCACGTGATCCAGAAGACCTGTTGTAGCCAGGCCTCCAAAATTTCAAGAAAGGTCAGAACCCCAAATTTTAATGTGAACTCCCGCAGTTTTAAAACATTGGCAAAAATTTGAATCAAAAACCCTCCGTGGTTCTAGCCCTTTGTGAGCCAAAAAAAGATATTGGCAAGCCAGTATTTGATACTGGGATTCAAAGGAAAAAGACATTACATTTGAAAGAGCTTGTGCAGGCAAAGCACGGCACACACTTAATTCTGACACTGGTTGTTAGGAGCCTCTGGCCTGGTCAGGTGAGGTCCATCTGGAAAGTTCTGCAGAGGAGGCACAGAATGGAGACCCTGCTTTTATCTCCGTTCTGTGCCGGGAGGTCTGAATGTTATGTATGTGAGGCTCTGGGAGATATTCTGCAAAGGTGGTCCCTCCGTCACAGAATCTGCAGCAGACCACCTGGCCAGAGCGCAGCTTCCCGCTCACTCTGAATTACTGAGGGCAGGGTCCAGAAAACAAGTGATCCCTTCCTACAGTGGTTTGAGACCACTGGCCTAGTATAATCATGTCCAAGATCAACATGTGTACTGTTGAGCCAGCCTCTCCCCAGGCCTTGGTCACTTCCTGGATGTGAATGAGACCCCATCCCCAAAGCTGCTGGCCCACACAGCACTCATCCAGCAGTAAAGAGGATAGTTGCATTCACGTTCTGACAGCCTGGGATGTGGGGGAACTGCCACCCAATTAGGTTCCCAGCCAGCCAGGGAGCAACTAAGGCTGGGAAACACTGCCTCCAGGGAATCTGCCAAAGTTGTTGGACACTGCAGGGTCCCATAGCAGGTGAATTCAGAATTCTGAGCTGAGAGGACCTAGCCTGTCTCCCCAGTGCCTCTCACTATGACCTTGGTAACCTACCCCATTGAGCAATGGTGTGGCTGTGGAACCAGACAGACCTGGATTCAGCCACCAGTTCCAAGTTGTACAACCTCTCTGAGTCTTGCAAAATGGGTATGTGAGGACATTAGAAGAGATCATACATGTAAAGCCCAAGCACAGAGCCCAGCACATGCTAAGTGCTCAGTAAATGGAAGATGCTATCAAAAGTAATAACAAAAATAGGGGCGCCTGGGTGGCGCAGTCGGTTAAGCGTCCGACTTCAGCCAGGTCACGATCTCACGGTCCGTGAGTTCGAGCCCCGCGTCAGGCTCTGGGCTGATGGCTCAGAGCCTGGAGCCTGTTTCCGATTCTGTGTCTCCCTCTCTCTCTGCCCCTCCCCCGTTCATGCTCTGTCTCTCTCTGTCCCAAAAATAAATAAAAACGTTGAAAAAAAATTAAAAAAAAAAAAGTAATAAACAAAAATAATGTGACTTAACTATGAAATGCAACAACAGCTCTTTCTTTCCATTCTTAAAGAGGGCCTGGCGGATAAGCTCTCAGGTGAGGGCTTGTGCCCATCCTGGGCCCCTCTGTGTCTTTTGCCAGCGTGTGGTCATGCTGGATCCTTTGGTGGGACTTTTTGACAAGACACTGGACAGTTCACTTTGCAGGACCGACCTCAGAGGCCTGGGGCCTATCTGCATCCTCTGTCCCCTGTCTGGGATCCAGCTACCTCTGAGTTATATGAAGGATCTGAAATGGTCCAACCTTCCCCCAAGTCCTGTGACAGCACATTCTCAGCACAGAGCATGGGAGGGGGCTTAGAATCTCCTGCACTAAGGCTCATGGGAGAACCAGTAGCTGATCAGTAGCCTCCTTCCTCAGAGTGAGGCTGGGGGGGGCGGTAGCCTTGACTGGCCTTTCACACGTGAATCCCGAGCACGCCCAGCTGGCCCAGAGCACTGGCTCCCTGTACTCCAGAGCTGAATGAAAGTAGATGGGGTAGCTGGCGCACCAACCCAGCTGCTTGACAAAACCACAAAGGGCGCTTCCACTGTCCCACCAGAGCAACAGCCTCTTTAGCACCTCTCCTGGTGATGCCTGGGTGCTAGGAGAAAGAAGACAGAAGAGTCTGTGCCTACCAGCCTGCACTGTCCTTACAGGTGCAGGCAGAGCATGCCCACACGCTCTCACATGTCTCACATGCTGCAGAGAGCTCACTACAGGGGCAGATCTGGCCCCTTGCTCCTCTGAACCGGCAACCTCAGAGTCAGGCAGGCAGCCTGCAAGCCGGCCTGCTCGCAATTCCTATCACACCAGTGATCCCTTCTGGTTGTCTTTGGGAATTTGCTTCTTGCTCCTTGGGATAAATCAGCAGCCACTGAATGCCAAAGAAGAAGCAGGAGTCAGGTAGGTGCTGATTCAGGAGGACGTAGGGGCTCTATCCCCATCTGGTGGGGCTGAGTCATGTTAGTGCTGACAAAACAGGTCTGGTCACCTTGCACTGTCCAGACCCATTTCTCTTTGACCCCCCCCCCCCCCAACACTGTCAGTAATCCCACTGTGCACCATCAACACTCTGCCCTTCCCATCCCATCCCAGCAGCTACCAAACTCTGACTGTCAGCATCCATCCTCACTGCAGGCCCTACCTCCATCCTGGCTGCTTGTCATGGCCCCAGGCTCTCTGCCCAGTCGTTGAACTTCACACTCCTCTGTACCACTCTGATCATGCTCCCAGGACCACAGACCCTTTAAAGACTCCTGTTTGCTCGCAGAGGTAATTCTAAGCCTTAGAATCACCTGGAGAACCCTAAAATTCTGCATCAGTTGGTCTGGTGTAGGAACCCAGTTTTGTTAAGTCCCCAGGTGGTTCCAATGCATGGCCAGAGTTGACCAGTGCCAGATTGCCTGATCACATTTCAATTCCATACTTGCATAGTCCTTGGCAGAGATGACAGGCACACAGCTTGTACTGTGCCAGAATATCATTAGCATTTCCCTTCTTTATGGTCTACTTGGATTTAAGTTCCCGGTAACCAGTAGAGCCTTCCCCTAGGAAATGGTAGGCATTTATGACCCCACCTCCTGCTAAAATCAGCACCATGGAGCATTATTTGGAGTGAACTTGTTCCAGATAAAGCTCCGGCTTTCTGGTACAAATGCAAAGGAACTTGACCTGTCCCGGGCCCAGGTTGATGAGACAGGTCTCTACCTGTCCCAATGGAATCGGAGAGATCGGACCGCCTTGGCATTTGCTCTATTTGCTATTCAGGCAGACCAACCTCTATTTCTCATGAGGTTGAATCATTGTGTTTTTTGGTAAAATGGTGATGGTAAATAAGCTTAGCCCTTCCCCCAATTTGCTTCCTTACGCTGGACTTCTAAAGCTTGGAAAAAATCTCTACTGGATATAAAAGTCTAACTCCATGCGTTGTAGGATAGCTTCTTCTACCCACTTTGCTAATGGTGCTGTGTTGTGTCTTGCACTGGAATTCAACACTTACTTCTCCTTTCCTACTGTGTTGTGTTCGCTGTTGCACCCGGATATCCTTAAAGACGATCTTTTTATCAAAAAAAAAAAAAAAATCAGTGAAGTGTTTTCTATAATCTTTTTTTTTTAAATATAGGAACTAATTATTATCCATAACTTGTAGTGTTTTCACTAAAGTTTTGCTTCTCTCAAAAAAAACATATAAAAACCTTTCAGAAACAAAAAACTTTCTGATTCCATAGGTGGGTCATGTGGAGCCCATCTCTGCAACATCTTCCTGTCCCACTGAGCTCTGCGTTGGTTTCTGCAGGACGCCTTCCAGTACCTTCTATTCTATGCCCTCCATTTGCCCTGCATGCTGCCCTCCATGTTTCTGTGTATCTCACCCCTGCTGATTTTTAAAGCCTAACACAAATACTTTCCTGACACCCTCACCTCACTGTTGGCTAGAAAAAGTCACTCCTGCCCTTGACCCTATAATTTTCTCTTTTCCTCTCTATGGCACTGATCCCTCCCCGTTAGATATTATTTCCCATGTAAGCTCTCTCCTCCTGAGTCCAAAGCTCCTGCCACAGGAAGTGCTCAGTGACTATTGAATGAATGAGTGAATGGATAAGGCCAACTTGTATTTTCTATAGGAAATACTAGGATGGTGGGTTGGGGGTGCAGGAGGTAGTGATGGGAAAAATCTCCCAAGCACTGGTTTCCAGAGATTTCTCCAGCCTCTGCTTTCCTGGGGGAAGCGAGGGGTATCTCAGGAGTTCCCTCCCATGGGGTCAGCTCTGGGTCTGGTCTCTCATTTGACTCACCTTATACAAGTGCCGGCTATCCACCTGACATTGAACTCAGCACACTACACAGCCTCTGTCTTCATTAACAGCACTCCAGCAAAGGTGGCAGCTGAGCTTAGAGGGGCTCACTGCCTGCCCCAAGTCATACAGCACTTAGTGGCAGAGTGGGGATTCCAACCCAGGTCTGTCTAACTCCAACCCAGAAGAGCTAAGTCTGGCTGGACCTCATATCAGCTGTGGACCCTCATCACGTAGGCTCAGGTTCCATGCTCTAGAGTGGAGATGTGGATCCAGTTAGGAAGAGGCCCATGCACCTGCCAGGGGCAAGGGAGATATGTGCCCATCCCCTCCCCTCCCCCAGTCAGTACCTGCTGGTTCTGGTCACGAGTGTCCTCCGTGTGGTACAGCACAGCCCACCGGCCCACAGCTGACACATTGACCCACAGGCATGGGTACTGGGGCACCTTTTTGCCCTCCAGCTCCTCTTGGTCCCTGATGTTGGTCTCAATCAGGTGGCACGTGGATTCCTGGGTCCACACGCTGGGGAGACCGTGTGCACATACATACATATCTCAGAACCTGGGTGGCACAGAGCACCAGGTTTAAACCCCTTTGGAGAGACTAGGCCTGGGACTTCCATCTTGCCATAATCATCTAGCACTAAAGGAGCGTGACCCCACTCACAAGAAGCATAGAATCAGAATATCAATGCTGTTAAGCCTCTTAGAGATCATCTAGATAAATGATTCTCCCCCGGGCTGCTGACCCAAAGCCCTGGGGAGCTTTTGAAAAGATTTCCATGTCCAAGCCATGCCCCAGAACAAGGGAATCAGAATTCCTAAGGTGGGCGGGGCCCAGGCCCTGATATGTTTTTAAAAGCCCCCGCCTTGATTCCGCTGAGCAGCCAGACCTGAGACCCCTTAGCCCTTAGCCACACCATCCTCATCTTGCAGGCGGTGGGAAGAAGGGCTCAGAAAAGTCGAATGACTTTTCTGAGGCCACACCGGACCTGTGCCTTTTCCCCTAAAATGAGTGGATGTAGAAGGGACTTGATTTGTGCCAGGGTAGGGAGGTTGGTGGGGATGGCGGTCAACCTGGAGATAACGTGTCATAGGCACACAGCAGTCCTGTACAATGCCTCTCTCGGGTAAGATTCCAACCTGGAATCGCTCCAGGGTTATAAAACATGGGGAAGAAGCAGGCCCAGGAGAGGCTAACAGGCTCAGCAACCCATCAGGGGATCACCTGTGACTCATCTCCCGTTTATCAGGCAAGACACACATTGCCAGATGGAGGGACTATCAGCAGCTGGAAATGTCCAGAGGTGAGGGTCTGAGAGTTATCCTCAAAACACAAGTGGAGAGAATGGATCAGGAACTTCACACCTTTTCCTTTAAAAGCTCGAGTGGTTGACATGTCAGGGAGCAAGGGCATGGAACATCTGTGAGCTTCCAGAACAGAGCTCCAGGGGAGCAGGCTTTGGCTCAGTGTGACATTTCCTACTCAGAAAAGCCCCAAAATGAAATGGTATGTACAATGAAGTACTGAGCTCCCTGTCACTTGAGGTATTCAACAGGAGGCTAGACGCCCACCTGACTAGGAGGTTTCCGAAGGGGAGTCAAACTGTGCAAATGAGCTATGAAAATCTAGAACTCTGATTTCTCCAGGGTTAAACTCACGCTGGAGCATTTGCTCTGATCCTTCACCGTTTCTTGTGAGAAGGGCCTCCTATGTCTACCACCCCCAGGTCCCAGAACCCCGGATGAGCAGGGTCCGGTCAGGCCTACCCTCCCTGCACTTGAACCGTGAACCCTAAGACTGAGGATTGTCCAGACCTTCCTCCCTGATGTGAAGTCAAGGGGAGGGGTAGGAAGAGGCTGGGGTTCCTGGCAGAACAGACCCTTGGGAGAATGGCTGGAGGGTGGGGTAGCCAGGTGAGTGCAGTACCTTTTCTGGTAGAGGGGCAGCATGGTCGTGCCCAGGATATAGTAGGCAATGACAGCACACACCACCATGGCCACACCCAGGCAAAGAGCTCGAGTCTCTCCCCGCTTCTGGGCCATCACCAGCTTCTTCCCCATGTCCACTGCAGGCAGCGGTCATTTCTGGAGCCACAGAGGCAAACAGACACGGGATGAGCACAGGCAGCAGGTAATCCCCACAGCGGGGACAGGTAAGAGGGGAGGGTACTCAAAGATCAACACCACCTCTAGTTTTATGTGGAGTTGCAACTTCAGAGGGCTTTTTTCACCCCAATGTAAGCCTCCCATCTGCTCTGAGAGGCAAGTATCATCCCCTTTCCACCGTTGAAGGATCCGGGGCCCAGAGAGGTAGAGTGACTAGTCCAAGGTCGCATGTATGATAGGCTCACTATTGGCTCCTAAGAGGAGGTCCATATTCTCAGCCCTGGAATCTGCGACTGGTACTTTACATGGCAAAGACTTTAGGGAATGCTGAGATGGGGAGATTATCCTGAATTATCCATGCAGACCCCAAATGTAATCACAAGGGTCCTTTGACAAGAGGAGAAGGTAAGAAGCCAGAGGAGACTTTGGACTTCTGGCTTCCAGAATTATGTGAGAGGAGATTTCTGTTGTTTGGGGCCACCAAGTATGTAGTAATTATTATGGCAGCAATAGAAAAGTAATACAGTGACATAAACAGAAACAGTAGGCAGCAGGTGTGGAACACCCAAGCACTTTCTCCTAGGACACTTCACAGTTTACCAAACAATCCCCAGGCAAGGCTGGCCGGGCTGAGGGCAGCAAGCAGAGTAGGGACAGCAGGGCCCCCAGCAGGCAGCCAGGTAGGCTGAGTACCCCGAACACAATGGGCTCTTTACTGGAGAGTGGGGATGCACTCCAGAAGCTGCCATCGGTGAGTCCCCTACCTTCCAGGCTACTCAGTCCTCCCAGGGGCACTGCCTCCTCTGCTGCATGCCTTCTTGTGTCCTCCCAGCCCCTGGGCACTCCTGACACTGGGAAGGCAGGGGTGTTGGGTGACCAGGTCTGGGAACTCAGGAAGAGAGGAGAGGAGAGGAGAGGAGAGGAGAGGAGAGGAGAGGAGAGAGGACAGGGGAGGGTAGGGGAGGGAAGGAGAGGGGAGGGGAGGGGTTCCCCCCATAACAGAGAAGTTTGGAACCTGCTGTCTATTCAGGTCTCACCTGTCTGTAATGCTCTGGTGATACTGTTTACCTACACTGAGAGAGTAGATTTGCAGAGTGGTGATAAAACCATGCAGGACAAAAGAATGGGGTGAGGATATGGATATGGATACGGTTATCGGTATGGATGGGATTTAACAACCACAGGGAGGGCCTTCAGACAGGAAGAAGAGTAGGAACTGCTGATATCCCCTGAGGCCTGGATAGGAAGAAATGGATTGCCGCTATAAGAGGAGGGATTTCAGTTGGACTCCAAGAAGAAATTCTCACTTTTGAGAGTTGCTAAATATGTGGACTTTTTGTATATATCTTTCATTTGGAAAAGTCACTCAAAGTCTGGGGTGAATTTCGGAAAGATGGAGAATGAAGGAGAAGATAGGATTTTGGAGGGTCTTCTAGACCTGGTATTTTGGTTGACATTCTCTTCCTTAAGGACAGATTGTAGAGTATGGTGTTTAAGGGTTTGGTGGGGGGTGGGGCAGGGAGGACTCTGAGGTCAGCAGATCCAGGATCAAATCCTGACTTTGCCACTTAGCAACCATATGACTATAAAACAAGAATAATAGTACCTGCTTCAGAGAGTTCTGACAAAGATCAAGTCACATGCCAAATATCACATATTGATCACAGGGTCTGGCCCGATGCAGGCTGTCACTAAACATTAGTTACTAGTATAACAAAGGGAATCCTGAAGGTTTGGAGCAGAAGCCCCCAGTGCTCTTGCTGAGCCTATTTTTTGTCCCACTTCTCCCCCGGGGACAAATGCCAGGACCAGCCCTGCTCTCCGGGTGGCTACACTCTGGTGCTCTGGGAGCTGGGACCTGAGTGCTAGGACACTGAGGTACTAGAGTGATCCAGCCATGGAGTGATCCCCCAGTAGGCCACCAGACTATGGGCCCAGACACCAGCCGTTCTCGTCTCTCTGCTGACACCACTGTCAGCCCCTCTGGAGCCCAGAATCCTGATGGACCTCCCTTAAGGAAGGAAGTTCCGCGGCCAGCCTCCCTCCCCCCACGATCTCCCCACTAACCCCCGGTCAGTCGTCAATCGTTGGAGAAACCACTCCCCAAGGGCTCTGGACGCACTACTCACAGTCTCCCGTGCCCTGGAGTCTTCAGCAGGCAGATACTTCTTGCCTGGCCCCTGCCCCCACCCCAAAAGAGGCTGCCTGAGCTGCAGCGAGAAGCTTGGGCTCCCAGCCCATCTCTGAGAAAGCGGGCTTTGGTCCCCATCTGGGACAAGCCTCCATGCCCAAACATGGTCAAGTCTGAGCACACAGCCCCGGGACACAAACTCAAGAGAGTAGGTACCAACCCAGGAGACAACAGCAGCCGTTACCAGGCCCCCACACCTGCAATTTCCAGGGTCTGTAGAAAACAGATTTTGAATAACAAAAGACAGCAAAACTGAGAAGCCAGGAAAGACCATCCCGGTGCATTTAGAGACATTTCTTCATCACTCAGTCTCTCTGGTCTGGCACAGAAGTCAGGAACGGGAAATGATTTTCCTTTTGTTGACATGAGGGAAGGAGGAGGAGTTAGAGCTCCAAAGGGTTGGGCTTATCAGCCACTAGGGGGCTGGCATTTCCCCACAGGAGCCTCCAAACCCTCCAGAGCCTTTGACACTTGCATGCTGTGTGACCCTGCGCAGGTCACGGCACCTCTCTGAGCTTCAGTTTTCTCAACTACATTATTGGGATTTTTTTTTTTAATTTTTTTTTTCAACGTTTATTTATTTTTGGGACAGAGAGAGACAGAGCATGAACGGGCGAGGGGCAGAGAGAGAGGGAGACACAGAATCGGAAACAGGCTCCAGGCTCTGAGCCATCAGTCCAGAGCCTGACGCGGGGCTCGAACTCACGGACCACGAGATCGTGACCTGGCTGAAGTCGGACGCTTAACCGACTGCGCCACCCAGGCGCCCCATTATTGGGATTTTTTTAAAACTTACTTCGTTCACAGTAATGATGAAGGTTAGGAATAATGGAGATTTGAGGCAGAGGAAGAGAAATCCACCTTTTAAAGCCCAGCCAAGCAGAAGCTGAAAGCAGTGACAGTCCCACTGCTGTCCCAGCCAGCCAGGTCCAGGGGCAGCAGCCTGCTCAGCCAGGTAGCCTCTTCCCAAGGTACTTGTCCTTTTGGAAGAGGGAAACAGGCAAGAAATGGGGCCCGTGAGCTCTTCTGCTGCACGAAAGTGAGCCCCCCTCCGAAATGCTGGGACAAGCTCTGCTCTCGAAGGTATGTGGAGAAAGACTCCGGTCCTTAGCTGGCTGTGGGGCTGTAGGTGAAGGGCAAGGAAATAATGATACTACAACAATAAAGATTAGTGCTCTGCATTCACCTGGGCTGTTAGAAATCACAAAACGCCTTCCCAACTTCAAACCTCCAACACTCTAATGTAATAAGCACTGCGGGCTCATACTAATCTATTCAGGTAGAGGTTTTTCTACCCATTTTATAAATGAGGTAACTGAGGTTCAGAGAGGTTAAATAGAGTGCCCAAGGCAAATTGCTTTGCATCTTTGTCTCAGTTTGTCCATTTCTAGAATGGAGATAACTATACCTAAACCTTCGGTGCCTCTTGAAAAATAAGAGATCACCTAAGCTTTCTGACCGGCAGATTGTGTTTTCCAAAGATGGCCACACCAATATGCATCCCATCTCACATGCTCTTCCTACAATGTGACATCAACGCTCCTCCATCAAGAGGGGCATCTGTGTCCTTCAACACTGGCAGAGCTCTGTAACCACCTTGCCAATAGAATGTGGTAGAAGTGACACTGTGTGATTTCCAAAGCTAAGTCATAAACAGCGATACAGCTTTCACTGAGCACCCTCTCCCAGGACACCTCCCTTGGAGCCAGCCACTGTATCATGGGGAAGCCAAGAGGTCACATGGAGGTGTTCCAGCCGACAGCCCCAGTTCACTTCTCAGCCAACAACCAGCATCCCCCACCGACATGAGTGAAGGAGCCTGCCGATGACGCCAGCCCCAGCCTTCAAGTCTCCCAGCTGCGGCCACAGACATCATGGAGCAGAGACCAGCCACCCACTCTGTGCACTCTCTGAATTCCCCATCCACAAAACCCACGAGCAAATTAAATGGTTGTTTTATGCCACTATATTTTGAGGGACTTTGTTATGCAGTCCCAGTAACTAGAATATATTGTAAGTGATTTAAAAGGGAAACTTACTGTTGCTAGTGATTGTGGTAGAACTGAACCAGTGGGGATGAAAAAGCCTGAAATGACTATATGGAGTGGTATAGGGGAGCTTTAGAAACGCCCTCTATATTCTTATATCAGGTTGCTCACCGGTGCACAAATGGAATAGAAGTATAGAGTTATAAGTGGGATTTTCATTTATTGAGCAGTTACTATGGGCCAGGGCGTGAGCCACATCCAAATGCAAATACATATACATATACAGATGCATGTATACATATGTGTAGACACACATTGCGTACATGCATGTACATATTTGCACACACACATATACATGTGTACACACTTTCACATACATATACACATATATGCACACATATACATATACATATACATGCATGCACATGTTTACAGATATATATGCATATGCACGTGTACAAATGTACACGTGCATGTGCACACAATGTGCATATGCACACACATACACACATACACATACGCACATGTCCATAAACGTATACATACACACACATGCATATACATACACATATACATGCATATGCATACACAAATATATATACATTCCTCTCAGCAGTCCTCACAAAAGGCCTCGTTTCTATGCTTTGCCCAAGGTCACTCCCCTGTCACATGATGTGATGGAGCCTGACGTGAACCTGTGCTTGCTGACCCCACAGCTCATGCCTGCTCCTCCATGACTCCCTTAGGCACGGTTTTCAAGAGGACCAATGTTCCTTTACAACGTCTGCCTCAGCTGCTTTACAAGCCCCCCTCTTCAGTCTATAGCCCTTTCTGGATTGTGCATCCATTTATTTATTTAAACCCTTTTGAATCAATATCTATTCTCCGCCACCACTTGGGATAATAAGTCCCATAAATCAAATTGGCAACCATGTCCTGAGCCCGTGCTGAGCCCGTGCCGCTGGCAGTGGGAATGAGTGGCCCTCAGTTCTCGCTGAGCCATTCGCTCACACACTTGAGGACCTACCGTGCGGAGACTCCGAATATGTCACTCCACATTGGTGGGTCCCCGTGGGGAAGGGAAGATGGATTTTTAAAACTGCAAAAAGGCACGATGGAAAAATAAAATGACATATTTTCGGGGAGAGAGTAATAAAAGACAGAGGAAATCACGGTGAACGATTTTTCACTGGAGTTGAGAAGACAATGGATAAAAACAGGACAATTAAATGTCCATATTTGAATTAAATGGCAAGACTGGACCTGAGGAGGAGCAGGACAGGGCTACTCCCTCCGAGCGAAGGGAAGCCTCCCACCTTTCTCGTTTCACTCTTTCAGCCGCACTTTTCCTTCCCTTCATGTTTCTTACTTAGTGACAAGGTATTTTAGCCTGCTATATTGTTAACATAATTGTAAGCAGCTTGAAATCCTCTTTGAAACAAGGAAGAGCATAAATAAATAAAAAGCACTGCTATCCATCTGTGCAGTAAGGTCGTTTCCTCATGCTTTTTCCTTACTGCAACATCATCCAAGCTCACCGTGGAAAAGCTGTAGGATAGAGAAGTGCAGGAGGAGGATAGAGCACAATGATGACCCCACCACCTGGAGAGAATTTGTTGGTCAGGGTGCATGTGTGTCCTTCCAGACACTCCTAAAAGGATTCAGGCATTCTCTGCCTCCAGAGGGCACATTCCTGGGTCCCCACCTGCTAGTGAGCTCTTCCCCTTCCCTGGAATTCGGTCCTGGGGTCCTCCCCTCACTTCTGTTCCCTTAGCCACTCTCCTCGACTCCTGGGCCAGGTCGGGGCTGTGGCTTAACATGCTCGGAGCACATGTACGCAGCTCCTTCCCTCCCTGTTCTTGTGATGCTCTGTTTCTTCTTGTGCCTATTCCCCATTCACTGGTCTTCCCGCTGGAGTGTATAAGCTCCCTGAGATCCGGGGCCAGAGCTGTTCTTACCACTGTCGCATCGCTAGGTAAACAGAGACTCGGGGTTTTGCTGCTGTTTGTGGTTTCGTCAGAAGAAAATCTTTTGCTTTTTCAAAAAACGTTCACCATCTTAACCAATTTAAGTGTACAATTTGGAAGTGCTAACAATATTGACATTGTTGTGCCCCAGGTCTCCAGAACTTGGTCGTCTTGCCAAACTGAAACTCTATAACCCATTGCACAACGACTCCCCATTTCTCCCTCCTCCTTGGCAACCGCTATCTACTTTGTGTTCCTCTGAGTCTAACTACTTTAGATTCCTCGTATAAATAGAATCGTACCAAAGTTGCCCCTTTGTGTCATGCTATTTCACTTCACATAATGTACTAAAGGTTCACCCGTGTTGTAGCATTTGACCAGAAAAGAAACTCTTGCTCCTTAACGTAACAGAATATTGTACTTGTTTTCCCATTCCAGAAAACATTTTTTAAAAGCTTGTACAGTACACATTTTATATGGGTGAGCGTAGTATATTCCATGGACGCCATGTTGTTGGATATTGAGGAATGGTGCTTGTTGGCTTGTTTAGTGGAGCTCAGGTTACACTCTGCTGGTAGGTGGACCTGCTCCACCCACCCCTACCCTCACTTGCACCCATCATTGTCCTGGAACTGACAGGTCTGGGAGAGTTTGGATCTATTAGAACACAATATGGGGACCAGAACCTGGGGATAAATATGAGAGAGCCATAGAAGTAGAAGATGGCAGCGGGTTTCAATTTCCTAGCCCAGGCCAGACCTGATTTGAGCACTGGGGGTGGTGGGGAGAGACAAGGTAGGGGAGGTAGATGCAGGCTGATGGAGCTCTTTTCATACCATAGTCCATGGGACTCAGACTCTGGGGTGATGAGAACCAAGGGCTCCCAGTGATGCTGTGGTCCTGGGCAGTAGCCCCCTCCTAAGTGCGTGTTCGTGGCAAGTCAATGGCATGTGATCAGGAGTGAACAAGAAGTCCCCACCCTGGACATGTTTGACTCTGGCAAGATTCAGGGCCCCAAATGCATTAACTATTCTTAGTGGTGCCTGTCAGAATGGGGTCCAAGGACTGAACGATATTCCCTCTCCCGTCCCCTTCCGACTCCCTGCATGGTGGGGGCTTCGAAGCTACAAAGAGAATATTCCCACCCTTTTGCTGAGTCATAGAAAGTCCCTCCAAGGGCCCATAGAGATCATGTAGGTCAACAGCTTCCTGTGTGTAAGGCTTTCTATTCACAAATTAACAGAGGGAAGTGGTAGAGAATCTGAGAAGCACAGAAAAGAAGAAATCAAGTCCAACATCCCAAGCAAACCACTGTCAAAGTATTGATGTTTAGATTATATTCTAAAGACAAATGCAAATGCT